AAAAATTTGTTTATAATAATTTATATTTTACCTTTTTTCTTTTTTTAGGAAGCTATTTTTTAAAAATGTATTTAGGTTTTATTCTACCCTCTTGGTCTTTATTACTGTGGATTACACCCATCTTATCGAAATAAGAGCTGTTATGTTGAGACTATATAATAAAAACTGCTTTATAGGTTGGGATGCACCAACATTTTCACCTTTTTGACATTGATACCAATAATTAATAATTAATAAATAATAGGCCAGCATTATAAATCTATACTATATGCCTTTTTAAAACCAAATAAAACAAAAAGCTAAATTAAAATATATTTAAATAAATATTTTTTAAAACTTTTTACATTTTTTGTAAGCACATTTGTGACCCTGGAGCACAAAACCAGTCTTAAGTGTCAATTTTTTGAAAGGACAATAGGATAGGACAATATTTGGCTGAGATACAACTATTTGAAAATCTGGAATCTGAGGGTGCAAAAAAATCAAAATATTGAGAAAATCATCTTTAAAGTTGTTCAAATGAAGTTCTTAGCAATGCATATTACTAATCAAAAATTAAGTTTTGATATATTTACGGTAGGAAATTTACAAAATATCTTCATGGAACATGATCTTTACTTAATATCCTAATGATTTTTGGCATAAAAGAAAAATGTATAATTTTGACCCATACAATGTATTGTTGGCTATTGCTACAAATATACCCCAGCGACTTAACACTGCTTTTGTGCTGCAGGGTCACATTTGTTCTCCTTATTTATCCGATACTGATTATGGTCCCTAGTAAATGCAATTCTAGTCGATTGGTAGTATTTTAGAGCCTGAATGTCATCAGAAATGTCAAATTCTTCTTAAATCCAGGTGTAATCCGATCTGAGAAATGTCTTAAATGTCCTCATTCACTCTTCATGCTCATTTCTCTGGGGTCTTAAAGAATGGCTCGGCAACCATTCTTTACTTCCAGTGCTCTGTGTGTCTCTTTACGGTTTCTGTTCGTTTCTTTTTAATTTAACCCGGTGGCTGTGATTTGATCTGCATAGACATTCTCTCTCTACTTGTGCTTTTTCTTCTTCGTGGCTGCGTCACAATCAGGAGATGGAAATGCAAAAGAGTATCTGTTACCGTAGTAAGTACCTCACCCCCCACACGCTCGAGTTTTCTTTCCCGCTGCATGCCTTCAGCTCACTCCTCTGCTGTCTAACTCTCATCTGCTGTCCTCGCGTTCCTCTGGGTTTGGTTTGTTGAGAGGGATGATCTGATCTGCTCCAGCAGAGTCATGGGCTGCAAACGGCATGAAACAGGTTTAACTTTTATAATGTGACTGATTCTTATCAGGATTTGATTGGATGTAAATCATTTAGATTGACATCCTTGGTTACTTTTACTTTTCCATACTGTCACAACTCAAAAAAATAAATAAATAAAAATAAATAAATAAATACAATTTATATAAGGAGGAGGTTAATAAAATGTAATGAATTTTTTAAAATAAATAAATAAAATTCCTTAAAACAACATTTAACTTTACTGTCACAACTAAAAAAAAACATAAATAAATAAATGTAATGAAATTTAAAAAAAATAAAAAATAGATGAAATTCCATAAAATAACATTTTACTTTTATAATGTGACTGATTTGAACAAGATTTGCTTGGATGTAAACCTGTAATAATATGACATTTATTGGTTAATTTTACTTTTCCATACTGTCACTACTATTTATTTTTTATTTCATAAGCGAAGGAAGTTATCCAAATTTAAAGAAAGTTTTAAATAAAATAAAATAAAAAACCTTAACATTCACTTAAATTCAAATTTACAAAAAACTAGCACATTTTTCTATAAAATAACATTTAACTTCAATAATGTGACTGAATTTATCTATCAAGATTTGATTAGATTTTATTTAAATGTAACTTTTTTTCATCATAGGAGGAAGTTAAAATGTAATACAATTTGTAATATAAATCAAGCAATTTTTCATAAATAACATTTAAAAAAAATCATAGGAGGAAGTTAATAAAATTTTATGACCATTTTTAATGCAAAAAGCAATTTTTCCATATAATAACATTTAACTTCTATAATGTGACTGATTATCAGGATTTGGATGTAAACCTGTTAAACTATGGCATTAATGGTTCATGTTACTTTTCTGTGCTGTTACAACTGACAAACTTTTGTTATTATTATTATTTTCATAGGTAACACTT